CCACATAAGCAAAAAGAAAAAAGCCAGAAGTGGCACTGTGGCTCAAGTGGTAGAGCGCTAGCCTTGAGCTGAAGAGCTAAGGGACAGTGCCCAGGCCCAGAGTTCAGGCCCCACGACCGGACCCCCCCAAAAAATCATTTTTATGGCTTCACAATGTTATTTTCCTGTGATTTAAAAAGTATGAGTAAAAGTCTGTTGTGGTTGGGTACTAGTGGCTCACATCTAGAATCCTAGCTACTCAAGAGGCTGATATTTGAGGTTCTCAATTCCAAGCCAGCCTGGGCAGGGAAGTCCATGAAATTCTTATCTAACTGAAAGTGGGGCTGTGGCTCAAGTCATAAAGCCTTGAGCAGAAAAGGCTCAGGGATATAGTTGCTATTCAGGCACTATGCTCTTTCAGTATGTCATCTTTAACAAGCCCCAAATGCATGTCTGTGTTTTTATTACTGTTACCTTTATATACAGATGACTTTATGATGCAAGGCCTTACATTCCTCAGGAAAGATCTCTACCACTCGGCTGCATCCTCAAGCTTGGATTTTTTTGTTGTTGTTGTTGGTGGTCGTGGGGCTTGAACTCTGGACCTGGGCGCTGTCCCTCAGCTCTTCAGCTCAAGGCTAGTGCTCTACCACTTGAGCCATAGTGCCACTTCCAGCTTTTTCTGCTTATGTGGGTTCTGAGGAATAGAACCCAGGGCCTCATGCATGCAAGGCAAGCACTCTTCCACTGAGCCACCTTCCCAGCCCCTCAAACGTGGATTTTTGAGACGGTCTTGCTATGTATTTTAGGTTATCCTGGAGCTACATCTTTCTGCCTTGGCCTCCCAAGCACTGGGATTACAGGCATTTACCACCATATTTAAATAGAAAAAAAGGTTTTACAATCTGTATTTTTGTTTCATTTGTTTATTGAAAGATGCCATATGCATATATACATACATACACTGTTAAATTATACACAACCTCAAAACTTCAGCCATTCAGTTTACTTCCCTGAAATGAACCTGGTTTCCAAGGTAAAATGAAACCATTAAACTCTTCAGTATTACTCAATTCAGTGAATTTAACTGTGTGACTTTTCAATAACTTAAGGTTAGCCAGACATGTCCAGATGAATACATGCATTACATCTGTCATTGATATCTGTTTTGGAATAAGAACTTGAAAACCATTGTTGATCCCATCAATGTTTGATTTTGTTTTGTTTTGTTTTGTTGGTTGTGGGGCTTGAACTCTGGGCCTGAGCACTGTCCATGAGCTCTTCAGCTCAAGGCAAGCGCTCTACCACGTGAGCCACAGTGCTAGTTCCAATTTTCTGGTGGTTAATTGGAGATAAGAGACTCAATGACTTTCCTGCCTGGGCTGGCTTTGAACTGTTCCTGAGTAGCTAGCTCTACAGGTGTGAGCTACCCGTGCTCAGCTAATGTTTGATTTTTAGCATTATTTTCCTCCTAGCCAGCAATCACATAATAATAGTTCTACTTTTTAATCTACATTCTCTCTCTCTTATTCCTGTGTGTGTGTGTGTGTGTATGTGTGTGTGTGTGTGTGAAACATTCGAGTTTAACCTGCAGGTTCCAAGTCTTCTAAGGCTTACTGAGCTGTTGGAAATGCTTTGTGTAGTTTTTTCCTCTTCTTTTTCAGATCTCTCTTTTCTCAGGTTGCTTGGGATGAAGTCCTTTCCTCCTTGACTTTTCACTCCTGTTTCTTGTTTCAGAGGAAGAGGAAGCCTCCCCGCCTAGCGCACTGCCTCCAGGTTAGGATGGCCTTCTCCTGTCTCTGCTCTCAACTCAATTGGCAAGGAAGGAAAGAAAGAAGGAGGGAAGGAGAGAGAGAAAGAAGAAAGGGAGGGGGGAGAGAAAGAGAAAGAAAGGAAGAAAGAAAGAAAGAAAGAAAGAAAGAAAGAAAGAAAGAAAGAAAGAAAGAAAGAAAGAAAGAAAGAAAGAAGGGAAGGAGGGAAGGAAGGAAAGAAAGAAGGAATAAAGGAAGGAAGGAAAGAAAGGAAGGAAAAAAGGAAGGAAGGAAGGGAGGGAAGGAGGAAGGGAGGATAGGAGGGAGGGAAAGAAGGAAGGAAGGGAAGGAAGGAAAGAAAGACAGGGCCTATGGCTGACTGGACTTACCAAGTCAGCATTGTCTTTAATGACATCTTATGCTTTACTGGAAATTTTTTTGAAAAACACAAAAATGTATTTGTTCAATAAAGATATTGAAGATTAGGGGCAGGGTTCAAGTCCTCGAATACTTGCCTAGCAAGAATGAGGTTGTAAGTATAATACCTAGTTCTGAAAACAGACAAGCAAATATTAGGAACAGGAACATTTGTCTCCTATTTACATTTGTAGGCTCTTCATCCCCTTCTTCTTTTTTTTTTTCCAGTTGTGGGGCTTGAACTCAGGGCCTGGATGCTGTCCCTGAGCCTCTTTGTGCTCAAGGCTAGTGCTCTAACACTTGAAGCACAGCACCACTTCTGGCTTTTGTCTGAGTAGTTTATTGAAGAGTCTGATGGACTTTTTGTCTGGGCTGGCTTCAAACCTCAATCCTCAGATCTCAGCTTCCTGAGTAGCTAGGATTGCAGGCATCATTAATCATTGGACTCTTATTTTACTTTATTAATTTGTGCTAGTACTAGGGCTTGAACTTGGGGCCTCATGCTCTCACTTGACTTTTTCACTATCCCTTGAGACATACCAACCCTTCAAGTTTTTGCTTGTTAATTGGAGAAGAATTCTCATGGACTTGGCTCAGTGGTAGAGTACTTGCCTTGCATGCATGAGGCCCTGGGTTTGATTCCTAAGCATCGCCTAAGCAGAAATAAGCCAGAGTGGCGTTATGGGTCAAGTGCTAGAGCACTAGCCCTGAGCTGAAGAGCTGAGGGACAGCGCCCAGGCCCAGAGTTCAAGCCCCACAACTGACAGAAAAAAAAAAATTCGTATGGACTTTTTTTTTTTTTTTGCCAGAGTTGGCTTCAAAAATTGTTCCTCAGATCTCAGCCTTCTGAGTAGCCAAGGATTACAAGTATGAGCCACCAGCACCTGGCTGATAAATGGACTTTTAAATTATATCCTATATTTTTTTCAAAGACATGCAGTTTAGAGATGTTTTCATAGCTGGAGCTGTACTGATTCTCCATTTAATATAACTTGTAGTTTTTCTCTCCATCACCATGAGGTCCAGGATTTGGGGGACTCTGTTTCCATCCTCCTCTCCTGCCACACTTGCATCCTCCAACTCCTTTTCTTTCAGGTTTGGGTAGTCGGGCCTTGGAAAGAAAAGATTCAGGTGAGCGTCCAGCTGAACAAGGCACCCTGACCCCATCCTAATACAATAACTAATGGCCTCATTTCTTGAAGCTGTACTGGTTCTAATCCTTGTTTTATTCAGTTTGTAGCTTTGAGAAAAAGCAATATTTTATTACATTTTTTCTGATATGGAAACTAATAAAGCAATTAATTTTGCATGACCCACACGTACATTCAGGAATCTGGCCACATACAGCATCATTTTTCACATGTGACAAATACACAGATTAGGTGCCATTCTTTGAATGTGCTAAATTTCTAATAGTTTGTATTTATATAGAACTTTATATAGACTTTCAAGTGTATGCTCTCCACTATAGCTATAATTCTGAGGCTATTTGATCACTCATTCAAATATTCAATGAAATTCGTATAGTGAGTCTAACATAGTCCAACTGTGTCACTCAGTCTAGAAGGCACTGGAAGTATATTAGTGAACAAAGCAATAAGAATACTCATCGTTTTCTAATCATGAATGTTCACTGTTAATATCACACACACAGCACGCTTTTCACATTGAAGTATTAAAATGCATAATCATATAACTACTTTGCTTAACTTCATTGTGAAAATGCTCTCCTAAGCAGAGAAAACCCTAGTACTGAGCATGATTGGTACATAAAAACTAAAATAACTAAACATACATTTTCTAAATTATATATATGTATGTGTGTATAAGAAACATTAACAAATAAAGAGTTGATAACCCATGCATTCTTTCCCTAGTTTTCTGTATTCAACTCTGAGATCAAGGGAGCATTCAGTTTGTTCCAAACTTCATTATTGAATTGGCTGCAGATTAATATCAAACACCTCAGTACAACTAGAAATGCAAAATAAACTTCATTTCCAGCTTGTCTCTTCCTGGGAAAGCTTCCAGCTTCTTTTTTTCCCTCTTCATTCTTTTTCTTTTTATTGTTTTTACTGTTTTCTTTTTCTCCTTGTAGGACAAACTTTCTATTCTTTAAATTTGTACCTTTAGGTCATGATCCTGTTACTTGTCAAACTGTGGCCACATCTATACAACCTTGATAGAATTGTTTAATGAGACAACAGCAAGAAATCTACAACTATCAGACCTAGGTTGGCTTTGTGACTCTTGTCAGATAGTTTACTCTCAAATCGGTCCAATCACATTAGTCCCTTCCAGTTCTGTTTTATAGCTGTGGCCTGAAAGCCAGTCACCTGGCAAAAACACTGAGACTATTGTTTGAATACTGTCACTATCATTGTTTATCTACTATAAAGCACACAGGATGGAGACACAGAGTTAACAACTTACCTGAAAAGCTTCACTATTTCCAGGAATTATCAAATGTTCCTTCATCAGACATCTCTGTAGGAATGGGACTGTGTTCCTCTCTACCGATGGCTGCTGGGGACAAAAAAGAATGATATTATGGTGTTATGTTTATCTAGGTTTACTAGAAGAGGAAAAGAATCAGTATTGATGCAAATAGCAAACACAGGTAAGTCTGCCATAGAGGAAGCAGGCCCTAAAGTGACCCATTTCCTTCTTCTGGTTGCTAGAATGGTCTCTTGGTGAGTCACCTGCTGGAGGAGAAGAACAGGACAAGCAGAATGCCAACTCTCAGCTGTCCACCCTGTTTGTTGAGAAACCTCAGACAGGTTCAGTGAAAGTGGGTAAGTGTCTAGCATCAAATCCTCCCCTTTTCCTTTTTTTTGTCAGTCTGGGCCTGGGCACTGTCCCTCAGCTCTTCAGCTCAAGGCTAGTGCTCTACCACTTGAGCCACAGCACCACTTTTTCTGCTTATGTGGTGCTGAGGAATCAAACCCAGGGCTTCATGCATGCAAGGCAAGCACTCTACCACTGAGCCACCTTCCCAGTACCCCCTTTCCTTTTTTATAGCCATGTAAAATTCAGGTATTATAAAATTAACTATTTTAAAGCAAAAAAATGCAATGGAATTTAATGCACCCATAATGATGTGCAACTACTCCTTCTACCTAGTTTCAAAACATGTCCATCACTTCCCCCCAAAGATCTTGTAGTTCACTAAGCAATCACCCGCATTGCCCACTTCCATCAAGCCCCATCACTAATTTGCTTTTTTCTAAGGACAATCTGTTCTGGATTATTTGATATAAATAGAATCACATGATCCATGACATTTTGTTTCTGGCTTCCTTCTGTTTTTGAGGTCCACATAGGATGTATAGTATACATCAGTACTTCATTCCTTTCCATGGCTGAATAATAATCCTTTGTGTATGAGTATAATACTGAGTCCTGCTTTCTATAACCTGAAAAAGTGAATGACAGCCATTATTATCTGTAATCTTTAATACATAGGAGTCCAGTGTCTGGACCCTGAAGCTAGTTAGCTTGGATCTGAATCTTGGCTCTGCTCCTTTGTGAATAAGAAAGACCAATTGGCCTCCTTAGGCCTTGGTTTTCCCATCTGTTCTATCGGGATAGATAAACGCTGGGATGTACTTGCGAAGTATTGAAGTATTCTGAAGAGCCAAACAGCATAATTTTCTGCACCAATGGCTACTATTATTATGACACAATTTATTTTGTAAGATGATTACAAATGGTTGGAAGTCTGCAGGGGTGCTAGATCATAAGATCTCGTGTACTTCCAGAGGGTTAGACACATGGTTCACCTTTAGAAATATGCATTCAAAAATACTACTTCTATATTTCTTGGTGCTGTTGTTGTGCCAGTGCTGGGCTTGAACTCAGGGTCTGGCCACTGCCCTTGAGATTGTTTTTTGCTCAAGGCTAACATTCTATCAGTGGAGCTGCAGCTCCTCTTCCAGCTTTGTGGTGGTCAATTGGAGGTAAGAATCTCATGGGCTTTCCTGACTGGGCTGGCTTTGACCTAATCCTCAGATCTCGGGGTCCTGAGTAGCTAGGATTATTCAGAAGCCACCAGTGCCTGGCTTATTTCTGAGGTTTTTTTCTTTTTGGGGGGGGTGGTCTGGTCGTGGGGCCTGAACCCTGGGCCTGGGCGCTGTCCCTTAGCTCTTCAGCTCAAGGCTAGCACTCTACTACTTGAGCCACAGCGCCACTTCCGGCTTTTTTTTCCCCCTGCTTATGTGGTGCTGAGGAATCAAACCCAGGGCCTCATTCATGCAAGGCAAGTGCTCTACCACTGAGCCACCTTCCCAGCCCCCCCTTTTTTTGATGCTGTGATTGATACTGAATATACTATGTGAATACTAAGAATTTTCAGGGCAGAGTTGGGGAGATCTTCCTCTGCCAAGGCAATTTAGATATTAATCACATCATTCACCAGCCACATAAAATTATCTATATAGATACATGGAACAAGGAAAGCCATTGAAAAGCATAATGTTTGTCCTTTCATATACCAAATGATTCCAAGGACCTCATATGGCCCACAGACTCAACATTCCCCACCCCTGTCAGATGAACAGACATGAAGCTAAACAAACAGATGACCACAAAACTATATACCACGAAATAAATAAACAGCTTGCTGACCTTGAGCAGAACCTAGAGGTTCCAAGAATTTTAAGTAAACAAATTTCTGTAAGGAATACATTATGATCAGCTCAGAGTTTGATGTTTAACAAATATTCTGTAAATGTGAATGTAGCTAATTCTTTCAATAACTACTTCTCTGTAGCATGCAGAACAACACTGCATGTAAACAGAAATGCTGGCTCCTCTTGTTCCTGTAAGACTGCAAGACGGGCTGGTAGTGAGGTTACTTTTCATGTCCTCAGAAGCTTTTTAATCAATGCACACAAATAGTCAACTTAATGGATCTCTTTCACTTAGTCATACTCCTATAATTCCAGGCTTCCTACCACCTCGTGTAAGGAAAAAGATGCCTATGCAAAAATATTTCTTTCTTTATTTTTATTCCCCATGAATGTAAATCTCTCTATAAAAATTCTTCCCACTAGTTTCCCATTTTTCTTGTTTTGCTCCATTAACTTCAAAAGCAGAACAGGTTAGATTATCCTAAAAATGTTCACAACACTCATCAAAAAGTGGGACTAAGATTCATGCTAGTGGCCTCACACCTGTCATCCTAGCTACTCAAGAGGCTGAGATCTGAGGATCATGGTTTGAAAGTCTGTGAGACTTATTTCCAATTAACTAGCAGATAGCCAGAAGTAGAGCTGTGGCTCTAGGAAAACTCTAAGCTTAAGCACAAAAGCTCTGGGACAACACCCAGTCCCTGAGTTCAAACCCCAGTACTGGCACCAAAAATACATACATACATACATAAAATAAGTTGGGGCCAACTCATTGCACAATTCTTAAGTGCAAAGCACACCATAGTTTATTAGTTACAGACCTGTGTCAACTTCTCCCAGTTAAAACCAAAACAAATGTCATGTTATTTTTTTGTTTTTTTTGGGGGGGGGGGTCCAGTCGTGAGGCCTGAACTCTGGGCCTGGGCACTGTCCCTCAGCTCTTCAGCTCAAGGCTAGCGCTCTACCACTTGAGCCACAGCGCCACTTTGGCTTTTTTTTCTTTTTGCTTATGTGGTGCTGGGGAATTGAACCCAGGGCCTCAGGCATGCAATGCAAGCGCTCTACCACTGAGCCACCTTCCCAGCCACAAATGTCATATTTTTAAGCCACAGATTGAATCCATGTGTATTTTCTAGGAGCAAACATCACCTTTATAGCCAAAGTCAAGGCTGAAGATCTTCTTAGAAAACCCACCATCAAATGGTTCAAAGGGAAATGGATGGATCTGGCCAGCAAAGCCGGAAAGCACCTCCAGCTGAAGGAAACCTTCGAGAGGCAAACTCGGGTATGGCTCAGGGCTCAACTAGCTCCTTTCTTCTGTGTGGGGAAGAAGTCATTTCAGATGTAGCTTTGAGTGATTTCAGTGCCAGAAAAATCTGTGGAATTACCATTCCTAATGTCTCTAACGCCATTGAAATGGTCATGTGCTAAGGAACCACGGGGGGGGGGGGACATATTTATCCCCCTGTTCTGATACTGTTGTATTAGACTCCCTAGATAAAGTTACACTGAGGAAGTTTGTAAAGTAACTGAAAGGTGATGGTCCCTTGCTGTCGGCAAGATAGAACTACAGTATGTCTGGATGCATTGTGTTATAGATATACACATTCGAGATGCAGATCATCAAGGCCAAAGAGAACTATGCGGGAAATTACAGATGTGAAGTCACCTACAAGGATAAGTTTGATAGCTGTTCTTTTGATCTTGAAGTTCATGGTAAGAGAACCTTCTTGCTTGCATACATGTGATTTTTATGTTATGTTATTTTTAAATGGGAAGGGATGGAAAGAGAAGAAATCATTTAACATAATGAAATTGGGGGGCATTTTTCTTTCAAAATTGAACAATGTGTTGATGTGGCCATTTTTGCCATCTTGGTGAATTGTTATTGTGATTTCACTTTTAAGAAGTGGGATTTGAACTGGGAGAGAGTGAAGGAAAAGGTGACAGAGTCCAAAACAAAAATGCATTCTTTTTTTTAATTTTTATTTTATTGTAAAGATGCTGTACAGATGGGTTACCGTTACATGGATAAGGCAAAGAGTACATTTCTTGTCGAGTATTGTTACCCCTTCCCTTGTTGTTCTCCCACTATCTCTTCCCATACCTACCTCCCTCCCTCCTTTCCTCACTGGGAAATGTACTATTTACCTGATTTATGTAATTATAACCCCTCTGTACATCATCTTTATAACAATAAATTAAAAAGAAAAGTGGGTTTTGTAGCTGGGTGGCTCATTCCTGCTGAAGGTTGAGATCTGAGGATAGCAGTTGGAAGCCAACCTGGGCAGAAAAGTCTGAAAGGCTCTTATTACCAACTAGCCAATAAAAAGCCAGAAGTATGATTCAACTGGTAGAGCTCCAGCTTTGAGCAGAAAGTACTAAGGTATAGCACCTAGGATCTGTATTCAAGACCAAATTCACACACACACAATAGGATTTGACACTATTACTAAGTATCTCTTGAGCATGCTACCTGCATTCCTTCACTCTCTCAGATAAGGGATGTCAATGAATATATCTGTTTCATTAAGGCCACTCAGGTGTGGGGATAAGGTCTTATACACGCTAAGAGAATGTTAGGATACCCAGGAAGAAGGGAGACATTCCCTTACAGGGACTGATGTCAGATATGGAAGTTCTCCATCTATATGTTCCATGTACTTCCCAGAGTAAAAATAATGTGCATAAATGTAAAGAAATGCACTTAGGTTTGGGAAATTCTACCTTTTCACATACACAAAGGGCAAGTGAACCCTGCAGCAAAGATGACAGAATTTAGATCAATTCACGTAAGTTGATGTGACCACAGGAGACAGAAGCTAGTGTGATTTTATTTTATTATTATATTTTATATTTTCTTGTCAGTCATGGGGCTTGAACTCAGACCCTGAGCACTGTCCCTGAGCTTTTTCACTCAAGGCTAGCATTCTACCACTTTGACCCACCATGCCACTTCTGGTTTTCTGATGGTTAATTGAAGATAACCTGGCACTAGTGTGATTTTTAAATGGAGTTATTGCAAGTAGTAGAGAGTTGAATTCCAGGCTACTTATTCTATGTTTGAATGATATTCTTGGTCATAGACACCACACCCCAACCTAGAGACCTTCTGGAGTCAGCTTACTGGAAGTATGAAGAATCCACAAGGCATATCCTACCCTGTTGAGTATAAGAGTGAAGAAAATCAATCACACACAGCTCATTACAAAGGGAAGGTCAGTCACACAGAACTAGGAAGAGTCCTCAAGTCCCCAAGAAGCATTTAGACCTGAGACAGAGGTTAAATGGGAATTTTGTGGGGGGGCAGGGTAGGGGTTCCATAATGAATTCAAGCCATAATGCAGACTCAACAACAACAAAAAAGAGCAGCACTTAGGCAGATTAGAATCAAAGGTGAAGGCTTGGCAAAATGGCTCAGTTGGTAGAGCATCAGCCAATGAGCAAAAGCATCAGATCAAGGGTCAAATCCCTGTCTTGAACAACAACAAAAGAATCAAAGGTGGAAGTTCTGAAGAGGTGAGTTTTGTCTTTATATGTGGATGAGTTCTTTCAGGATCATTGAATAGATGAGAAATAAGTAGCTTGGAACTCAACTCTCTACCACTTGGAATACATCCATTTAAAATCACACTAGCTTCAGAAGCCAGTGGCTTATGCCTGTAATCCTTGTTACAGAGGAGGCTGAGATCTGAAGATCATAGTTCAAAGCCAGCCCAGGCAGGAATGTCTATGAGACTCTCATCTCCCATTAACCAAATGAACCTGAGAAGGTCTTGCTATTCCCATTCCAAGAAAGGTCCAACAAAGGTTGAATGATCGTAGGCAGGGACATTAATTCTTCTGTGTTAAATGAGAATTTTGCCCTGGCCAAGGCATCTCTAAGAATCTCCTGAAGGCCTTTTTAAGTCTAGATTTGTAGATATCTCTCCCTGAGCTGGTGGATCAGAATCTCCAGTAGGACTCCTTGGATGACTCTCATGGGCATGCAAGTGAAACAACAATCATACACAGAAGCCCCTGTGGTCCCCTCTATTGGTTCCTCATGAGGGAGGAGAAGACCTGCCTTCGTGGCACAGCCAATCTGGAGACAGCTAGCACCTCTACCCCAGGATCTTCCATCCAACCAATCCCCACAGCTCATGAAGGAACTGAAATGAAACTTGCCTTCTTAATGGGTATTAACATCTGCTGTTTTCTTTCCTTTCAAAGAATCTACGGGGACTACTCCAAACATTGACATCAGATCTGCCTTCAAGAGAAGGTAATTTCCAAAGGGGAAATCTAGATGGCTATTATATTGCACAGAGGTGGAGGCTTTTCAAACTGTATCTTTCATCCCCTAAAGTTCATATGCCAAAGAAGAATCATTTCACTGTGGTCATACACACTACTTTTGTAAACACTGGTATTGCAGCTAAGCTTAATGTCCAATCAAGTATAAATGCTGATGTTTTTAGAATAGCCTTGCCAAAATAAAGCTGTTATTTTTGACGGTATTATGGTTGCTTTAGAAGAATACACTCTCAACCTATTCATAAGTACATGTTTCACAAGGCATTATTTTCCTCAAAATAAGAGATATTTAAATCTACCACCAGTTAATTAATATGAAAAGCCTTTTTATTTCAATTAGTGATCACCTACAAATCACTTAAGGAGTAACTAAATCATGTAGTTCCCTTACCACAATTAGTAGACAGTTACTGAAGTTAACATGGTATAATATTGAATTATTATGCATAAAAGGTTACTGAATCCACTAGAATTAACAACACTGTTGAGCTGGGCACCTGTGGCTCATGCCTGTAATCTTAGCTACTCAGGAGGCTGAGATCTGAGGATGGCAGTTCAAAGACAGCCTGGGCAGGAAAGTCTGTGAGATCTAATCTCCAATTAACCACCAGAAAACCAAAATTGGCACTGTGGCTCAAGTGGTACAGTTGCTCACATTGAGCTGAAGAGTTGAGGGACAGCGTCCAGGCCCAGAGTTCAAGCCACATGACCAAAAAAATAAATACTATTGAAAGGCAGATTCCAGATACTTATTTAGTTTTGCAGCTCCCAAGGCTGAAAAAAAATAAAAATATTACGGAAAGAAAATGAAAATTGTTTCTCTTCTCTGAGATACATAACTAGTCCCTTCTTACTGTATTAGCTTCTATTTTTAAATGATAACATCTTTGATAAAGTATTTTGTTTTTTCTAAGACCAAATCCATGTACTGTTGTGTTGAATAAGGAAAGAAAGTCATTTTAAGTTATAAAGCATTGTATGTATTAGGAAAACATATAGCATCTGTTTTTATAAAGCAACACTTTGGTTCATTAATAAAAGGTACATTTCCCTCTTAAATTATGAATAAATAAAATGCAAATTACTCTGAAAAGATATTGAAAATTACCTGACCAGTAATTTGTGTGTGTGTGCCTATCCTGGAGCTAGAAATCAGGGTCTTGAGGCTGTCCTTGAGCTTTTGTGCTCAAAGCTATCAGTCTATCACTTGAGCCACAGCTCCACTTCTAGCTTTTTGGTGATTAATTGGAGAAAAGAGTCTCATAGACTTCCCTGTCCAGGCTGACTTAAAACTGCCAATCCCCAGATCTCAGTCTCCTGAGCAGCTAGGGTTACAGGTGTGAGCCACAAGTACCCAGCTATAGTAATTGGTATTTTAAATGTGAAAACAAAAATCTCAAAGTTTCAGATCCTATTATTTTCCTTCTACCTTCTCCCCTCAAACTTAGCAAATGCATAGATCTAAAACTATCCCCATGACTCATACAAGTATATTTCAGAACAGAAACATGACCTACGGTTCCAAATTCTAAAGCCCTAAACACCTTAGATTAGAGAAATTTTGGAAACACAGTACTTGAGTTTAATCCTTATGACTTACATATTGTACACACTGTTTTTAACCCACAGACTCTTTCCTTAGAAACCATAACTAACATTTGTAAAGCTCAGGAAACAAAATCTTCATTTAAAAAACTAAACATGTAAGTAAAATATGTAGTGCCATTATATGTGAGCACCACAGCTTTTTTATTTTAAGAGTTTCTATGAAATCACAATGGTGGCTGCATGCTTAATCTAAGATGCATTTCTCTGTAGGAAAGCACATTAAAAAACTGAAAAGTTCATCAGCAACCCAAAGATAAATTTTTGAAAAATATCTTTTAAAAAGCTATTAACATGAAAATGAAAAGATTGCAATATAGAGGGCAATCCTCTGAAAACAAAAAGGAATGCATCTTTGGAAGAGCTCTGCACCAGCTCCATTCATGCTTATGTTAGTATCTCACTATCTGATTCATCTATTCATGGACATAAAGAAGTTACCTTTGATATAAGGCTTTGCACTTATATATCTGGCCCTGGTACACTTTGTCCTCCAAGCCCATCTCTGTCTTATATGCACAACAGAGATCAACAAAAGTCCTTTGCTTTTCACATAGGTTTGTTTACCCAACTTGCAATAACAAAGTACTTTGTGTTGCTTGGCTTAAATGCATTTGTGTTACCTAGTTTTAACACAAATCCAAGCAGTTTTCTATATGCAATCTACAAAATCGTGTCTTCTGAAATCATCGAGGAGCACACGCTTCTCATGGCTGCTTTTCCACAAGTACATGCTCCAAGAACTTCCAGTGTGACTTGTGTGAAAAGCAATAGTTTGTGTCGATTCAGTCCTTGCGTGATCGTACAAAATTGCATATGTTCTATGTAGAGTGTTTGGGGGAGAGTGTTATGTATGTGTCTACATTAAACCCAGATTTGCTTTTCTTTTGTTAATGACAGTGGAGAAGGTCAAGAGGATGCAGGGGAACTTGACTTTAGTGGTCTCCTGAAACGTAGGTGAGAACCAAGACATGGGGTCCAGGCACCTCAGCACTTTTACATCTCCTCCCAGTGAAGTCAAGTTAATGTGAATGCCTTTCAAGGAACTTTCCTTTCTTAAAAAGTGTTTTGCTTACACAACATAACAGAATCAACTAAGAAAGGATGAAAAAGTAACTGCATACTAATCTCTTAAAAACTGTAGCTGATGCTTTCAAACTTTCTCCACGTTTCCTGAGTTCTCCCATGTCTTCTTAATTGGGTATGAGGAGATTTGAAAACCGGAGACATTAAGGTTTAAATACCCAGAAACTTTTTTTTTAATTAATTAATTTATTTTTTATTGCGAAAATACTGTACAGAGGGGTTACAATTACATGGGCAAGATAATGAGTACATTTCTTATCAAGCATTGTAGCCTCCTCCTTTGTTACCCAGAAACTTTTAAGATGGCACATGATTCTTCTCATGATTAAATAAATTAAATCTCCATCATCTTGCTTTTGGTATTGGTATTTGACCAAACAAATAAATTGCTACTCAATTGGTAGCAGTCTCTGCAGGTGTACTTACCTATGCCTCATTACCAAGGTCAAGAGATGCTGAGTGACTCACTCCCTCAGGCCCACAAGATGTGCAGGCAGAGCAGACACCCAAATCCAAATTTGTCTTTTCTGAGTCACCATTATCTTCTGTGACTCCATGTAAGAAGTACTACGCACACCTCACCTGCCCTGGAAGCTCATTCTCCTGTGTAAAACATGTATTGACACTTTAAAAAGATAAGAACTCTCCTGCAATCCTTTATTTAACCCTAAAATAAAATAAAAATATCCAAAGCTTCCTCTGTATAGAATGTATAAATTCAGGAATCCAGGAGATGTCTCATAGAAAGGGATGAATATATATTTTGGGAGAGTAGTGACAAAAAAACTTAGATTCAAATCTCAACTCCACCATCTAGTTATATGACTTTTGTCATCTATGTCTTTTCTGAGACTTTCTTCTCATATTTGTAAATGTGAACAGTTGAAACAACTTAACAGAGCTAGTGTGAAAATTAAGTATAAAAGGCATGGCCCATAGTAGTTGGAAACTAAATAGGCATTTCCAGTTACAAAATATCTGTTTTCCCTTCAGGAGTATATATTTATAAAGAGCATACACACTCACACACACACACACACACACACACACACACACACACACAAATGAGAGTGTGGAAGGGAGAAAGGGAGAGCTATCAAAATATAATACAGAACATTATTAATTGTCTTTTTCTGATTGTTCTTTTTGGAAGATTAAAGAAATTCAATTATATGGTCAAAATTCCTAGAGGAAAATAATTTGAAACAACTACTTGGAGGGATTCAGCCTTAGTGTCTCTGTCCCTCTCATGTGATAGTCTTATCTATTGTTCAATAACCTTCTTTGTTTACTGCTAAAACAAAAATGAGGAGCCAACGTGTCTTCAGTTCTCATTTTCTTTGCATTTCCTTAACTAAGACTTTGGTTCCTAATTAGATTGTTGCTAACATAAGGCTATATTGATTTAATACTGTACTAATCTACTATCACAACTTTAGAAGTGATGTGTTTTCTTACTAATTTGTAAATTGCATGTGTTTTAATTGTGGTAATGATACATGGTTGCCATTTCTACTTTTTTGGGAGTGTGTGACAAAAATCCCCATCAAGATGAATATCGTTATGATCAACATCTCTGTTCCAAAAAGATCTCCTTGCCCTGGTTAAAGCCAGCTTCTTTCACATAGACATTAGGTGAAGCAGGAATCTTTTGAGCAGTAAGTATTCTTTTATGGGATTAGATCTATATAAATCCTTGGAAGTTTTATTCTACATAAAATTTCTATAAATGCTCTGTAGTTCACAAGGATCATAAAGTTATAGAGATTTTGATGTAGATGAAATTACTCTGGATGTTGTATAGGTCTGTCCCAGCAATGGAAAAGAATCCTAAATCTGCAATTTTCTTGTCCTCATCACTTAAGCATGCAGACAGGGCTATGGGCAGCCACTATGGTAAGTAGAGTTACTTTCCAGATAAGTGAAGGAAATGCTACTGGAGAGACCTTTGATCTCACATTCCATGACAGAAGTGACTGCCTCTATTTGTGATTCAGAATACAATTAACTTATGGAAAGGAAAAGAAAGAAATAGGCAAGAGGTCATTGCTCTTCTATGAGAAAGTTGATAAAGAAGATGGCATGTATCCTGGTGTTTTAATGGAAAATGAGGAAGGTATTTGGTTTTATGATCTATTAATTAAACCAATTTATTACTAGCTTCCTTCATAAAATATTCCCCTCATTAATCTAGGAATATCTCCGTAGTTGACAAGTGCCTTTTGTTAGCTTACATATATTCTGTGTAGTTTGATATTTTTGCACTATCAAAAGGATACTTGAAGTGTTTGTGTATGTAATTCTCCTCAATTAAAATACAAATTACTGCAGACTATGTATGGCATAATTCGTGTTTAAGGGCATGTTCAGGCTGGCATGTGACCAAAAAAATCAAATATTAATAAATTGAGTAAACACCCCACAGAAAATATTACAGATATACATGCATACACATTTTAATTGCAATTGTCTAATATTTAAAAAGATATATCTGAAATACAGACTACCTTCAGCCTATAAATTTCATTGGTTCTGGCAAATTATTGCCACTCCAATTTCAGGACAATTTATTTAAGCTTTTCAATTTCCGCATATTTTTATTTCAATGAGATCACAATAATGCTATGTGAAATTTATCAAGGCCCATTTTCCTAAGGTGTTTTCTAGCTCTTCCCATCAAAGTTAAGTTACTAAGGGATCCACAACTTCTCACTCCCTTCCATTTTTCAAGACATTGGCCTTCCCTGGAACATTGGAACCCCCTGTCCATTTGGGCAAAAATGACTTACATAGCAATGTAAAATGGAAATTAGATGTTTAGGAGTTAGAGTTCCTAAAGATACCCTAAACATTATGCTAACAATATATTTTCCTTCTCTCTCCTGTATACTTTACTTTTATTACAACTCAGGATTTCCCTCTCATAGTTTGTATGAGTATAAAGAAGAAAGTCTGAAACAGGAATAATAAATGAGACAAAGCAAACATATTTGTAACTTATCAGTCCTAACATAACAACATGAATCTGTTTCCACACTAGTGCATAAGATGTGTTAATCAGGATTTCTGGAAATTAAATTCAAATCAGTATAATTCACAGTAAGTAGTCACCTTGTAACATTTCCAGTTTAGACTGGTATAAATAGTTAAGTCAGCCTCAATGAAATCAATTTTTTTTAACAAATGAAGAAAATAATTTAAATTACATTTTACAATTATACTAAGCTCCTTTTTTCTAAAGTATTTATTCATGAATGTCATGGTGAAGTTTTGAAATAGAAGAAAACAAATGTCTTTTAATTCTTATAAAGTTTTAGTTATATATGTTCTTCAAAATTTCTATATGTTCTTTAGGTAGTGATCAAATTTTGGGGCCATAAGTTCAATAATTACTCTCAGAGGTTACTTTCCCTTCGTTCATGGGACTCTAAATTTTTTTTTTTACCATTTACTATTTACATGTTTTAATTCAACTTCATCCTACTTCCAAAAGGGAGAATTCAAGACAATATGTTACAAAGATATGAGAGAATTTTTTTTTTGCATCACTCTTCTACCAATTTAGAGAAACCAGGGTATGGAGGATAGAAAACAATACTGGAGTTTGAACTTAGGGCCTAAAACTCACCAGCCAGATACTCTCCCTCTTGATCCTAGGAACAGCATCTTTCTTCTTTTTTTTTTAAGTAAAAATCTTCATCCATAAAACTATTTTTTTAAAAAACCCTCATGAGAGTTTTATTTTTAAAATATAAAAGCTAAGAAAAGTGCCTAATGTACATAATCATGTATGTGCTAGGAAAAATGCTATTGTCAAAATCAAAGCCTTGAAATACTGTCTTTGTACTGGCCTATACATCAGTAAGGAAAAAGAGGTCATTCTCATTCACAAGCCACTAGTCAACTCTTTTAGTTCTCATTTTACTATTATTATTATTTTCTAATCCATGAACATAGTATACCTCCATCTACAAGTATTTAGTTCTTAATCTACTTTTCAAAATGAATTTACAACCCATATCTAAGGTGAGAACCATTCTATTTCTCTAATTTCACGCTCAATTAGCTTGTCTTCCCCCTCCCCCCCAAAAATTGTTCTTTTAATATAAGAAAATGAAAAGTGTTAGCATTACTGTACATATTTGAGCTACCAGGTGGTAGTTTCCCTAAGACTTCAAATAAGGCGAATAGACTTATTTGGTGGCTTTAAATAGAGCTTTTTAACACAATCCCCCCCCCCCAAAAAAAGTCAGGATCACACCCCGGGCTTCCTTTACTCTAAGGGTCAGGACAGTTACTGAAGAGGCCATGGTTCTCTCTGGTTAGGGAGGTGAAGCAGCAGGAAGAGGAACCTGAGATTGATGTGTGGGAGCTGCTGAAGAACGCGAACCCCAACGAGTATGAGAAGATCGCTTTCCAGTATGGTATCACAGACCTGCGGGGCATGCTCAAGAGGCTCAAGCGGATGCGTCGGGTGGAAAAGAAGAGTGCAGGTGAGCACTGGAGGAGGAGCACTGGAGGAGGGTGCAGTGGCAAAGGCTGACCCAAGCCAGGCGAACTGGAAAGACTCAACCTTTACCTCACGCCCTTACTTCATCCTGTCCACCCTGGCTTAGGGAGAAGCCAGAAGGGTGTGGGGGCAACAGGAGGGCCCCTCTCTTTTGATGGCCTCTAACCTCAGTGGCAATGCAGATAGTAGGACAGTTGAGGGTCATCTCCACCCCTCCACCCCCCAAGAATGGACAGCCAACCCTTTGTACCACACCCACATCTCCCTCACAAAGCCTTGGCTTTTAGACAAGAGGAGGTTCTCTGTCTCTGCTTAACATCCTATTTCTCCACCTTTCCAGCTAGGGATGGGGAGTTTGCTTCTCTCACACAATGTACTTTTGGGAAGTTTCTGTGCCAGGGATCTGTAGTATGGTTTTAAATACTTTTTTCCCGTTAATGTGGAAAAGAGAGAGAGAGAGAGAGAGAGGAAAGAATATGTTCAAAATATAAAATGTTGACCACTCAAGTTCTTTGCAGTTTCTTGTAGTAGATCATCAGTTATTGGTTTGACCATACATCAGGGTGATAGATGAATCCTATGATGATTTATTGTTTTACTAGTTATTCAGAGACAATTTAAAGATTCGCGTTGATCACCTATACTTTATTTCTAAACTGCGTGTGGATTCCTTGAGAAATATAACTGGGAAAAAATACAGCTAGTTACTATGTTTTAGCTTAGTTGTTTTGTTTTGTTTTGCAGAGCTTAGCTATTTCCATGATCCCAGAACCCCTAAAATTACTATCTTGAGCCTAGGAATTCATAGTCTCAAACATCAGTGTAGACACCTGTTTTTCCCAGATTGGCTTTTCACGTGTGTGTGTGTGTGTGTGTGTGTGTGTGTGTGTGTGTTGTATATGCAAGGAGTCGTTTTAAAATTCTATTTTAGGGGCTGGAAAAGTAGCTCAGTGGTAGAGTGCTTTTGCATGCATAAGGCCCTGGGTTTGATTCCTCAGCACCACATAGGCAGAAAAAAGCTGGAAGTGGAGCTATGGCTCAAGTGGTAGAGCGCTAGCCTTGAGCTGAAGAGCTGAGGGACAGCACCCAAGCCCCAGGGTTCAGGCCCCGTGACCGACAAAAATAAATAAATAAATAAATAAATAAATAAATAATTCTATTTTAGGGGCAAATTTCTAAAATACTAAAAGTTGGGTAAGTCCACGATTTCAATTAACCAAAGGTATTGAATTGAATCCCATTAATTACTGAATTTCATACAAATTCCATAATGAACAGTAACTTGTGGGCTTGATATATCACTCAAGTGGTAGTATGCAAATCTAGCATGCATAAAGTCTTGAGTTTAAACACCAGTATTTCCCAAAATAAACAGACAAAAAAAAACATGATATAGAAATTCAAAAATAGAGCTGGATGTGGTAGCACATGGCTATAATCCCAGTACTAGGGGAGCTTAGGGAAAAGGGTATCAAGTTCCAGACTAGCCTAAGCTATCCAGTGAGATTGTTTCTCACAAAACAAGCCAAAAGAAAAATAAAGAGAAGGACTATTTTAAAAATAATTCCAGTGGTTCAAATAATATTAGAGAATTAAAAGAAATTATCATATAGTTCAGTTTCATTTAGGTTCATCTCCGAAGAATTGGGTCATTTTTAAAGTGTCTTCAACTATTCTTTTCTTAGGTTTCTTTTTATTTATTGGTTGATTTTTTTT